GATCGGAGTTGTTATGCAGTTTCACAACAGTCATCATCTGATCCCGCATGTCAGATCAGCACACGGGCTATCGTAGGCCGCTGTGAGGTAACTTGCCTCTGACCTTCAGATTTGTGTGCAGTGCCTATTCCCCTAACTGCCTGAAAACTATTGACACACAGCTGTTGGCAACTAACAGGAGTGAAGAAAAAAATGACTCATTTGTACTTTTTTCTATAGTCCCTGTAATGTAACTTGAAAATATTTCACAATTTAAATACATTAAATGAGAGGAAAAAAAATTTAACCCCCGAACAGTCGCCCCTGAAATTTCTAAAAAGCCATTTGAATTGTTTTACTTTTGTCAGTTTAAAGGGGAGAACTGGAAGAAGTCATGTGACACCCTGGTTTTCAAAAAATAAAAATAAAAAATGACGAAAGCCCCCAGTAGTGTCCTGAAATTACCAGAAACGTTAAAAGGCAAAAAGGGTGCAGTTTTTGCCCACCGGTGGAACAGACACGGTTACCTTATACTGATGTTAAAAAGAGTTATTTAATCAAACTAAACAAAACTTGTCTTCTGTCCCTTTGTTTATTTCTACTTTTAAAAATTGAAGGCCTACATATGAAATGTATATATTCATGAATTAAAGCTGAATAACCTAAATTAACACTAGAGGAAACCATCGAGGCAGCAGTGTCTCCATGGGCTCAACTTACACTATAAATATATATTTAAATGTATTTTTTCTTCTGTTTATGTCAAATGTTTCTGCAAGATTTTGTTTTGCTGTCAGCCGTCTGTGTTTAGAGCTTCCTAATTTCCAGAGAGCAACAAAGGAGACTTCAGTTCCTGTAAACACTGCATTCACTTGATCCCTTGACAAACTAATTTGTCACACTCTGTCAGAAACAACCATCAAAACATACTGCTGTAGTAAAGTAAGCTGGAACTTTTTAATTACAGTCTTACTAAATAAAGTCTCTTCTGAGTTGCTTGATTTAATGTAAAATGAAAAATACAATAATATGATATGGCTAATACCGAGCTGCCTTCAGTGTAAAAGGTTGAACAAAGTCCGACTGTTCGGTGACCTGATTCACTTGAGTATCATGCTGAAATACAGTATAAAGCAAGAAACCAAAATAAGAGCTTATTTTTCATGTTTAGATTCTCTGAAACACATTTTTTCAAATTTATCAGCAATTTCTAATCATAAATAACTGAGAGAAGTTGAGTCCTGAGTGTAGTTTAGGTCCAGATGTGTTGAATTAACTCCTGCTGCTGCAGAATGCCCCTATATTAGCAGACTCATGATTTACGTGGAGAATGGACACTAAAAGTCAGGCTCAGCCTGGTTTTGCTACCCCTTTGTTTTTGCACAATAATTTAGCAAACTGATGCCAAGAAGCATCGTTTCTTCAAAGTGTTGAAGAAAAAAGTAGGTTAAAGTGGTTTGAACAAAAAGAAAGTCTGGATAAAGGAAGAGCAGAAACTAGGGTATAATTTCCATGCAAATTTGCTCATGTGGTATAAATCTTATACTGACATGAGCTCACGTGTTTCTTACATAACTTTCCGAGAAACAGTCGGTTTTTTTCTACTTCTGAGATTCAGCAAGATAAAAAAAACATCTTGGGAATTTATTTGAATTGATCTTTTAAATGGCTCTTGAAATTATAGTGTGTGACTAAATTTTTTGCACTCTGGTAAGTGTTTCCGTGCTTATAAGATTTTATTTGGTCTTAAAAATGTGTGCCAGACAGAGTTAGTACATTAATAAAGTGGTTGTTATAAGGTGTCACAGAATGTTTAAAGACAGAAAGCAGATCACGTTGAACGTTTGGCTTTAGCCTGAACAAATGAAAGTCCTGGAGCTTTGAGTTAAATTTGGTGCATTGAGTGTTTCATAATGCCATTTGAGCCGCTCTCTCCTGCCACCGGTCCTCAGTCTTCTGAGAGCTTGTGCTGCTTGTTTGGGTAAAATAGTAGCCATACCCTAGCCTTCCTACACAGTCCGTTCAATTCTAGTTTTCCTTCACAGCTCTGTCTGGGATTTCTCCCATAGACGAGGAGTAGTATAGTCATCCAGGAGGGACTCAGAGTAGAGCCGCTGCTCCTCCACGTCGAAAGGAGCCAGTTGAGGTGGTTCATCTGGTTAGGATGCCTCCTGGACGCCTCCCTGATGAGGTGTTCCGGGCATGTCCCACTGGAGGAGGCACAGAGGAAGACCCAGGACATGCTAGCCTGGACCTTGCCTTCCTACGCAGTTCTGCTCAGTTCTAGTTTTGCTTCTCTGCTCCGTCTGGGATTTCTCCCATAGACAAGGATTTCGCTGGCAGATTTTTAGCCGAGCCAATCAGAGAACAGAACATCGATTTTCTGTGCAGTGTCTGCTTGTAGTTTATTTTACCTGGGACAAACAACAAACAGAAGGCAGGGTTTTGAATGACGTCGATTTTCTGCGCAGTGTTTGCTAGTTAGTTTAGCATACGGCAGTGGAGGAAGTGAATGAAGCCAGTCTGTGTTGATAAGGCTTCCAAATTAAATTAAATTTGTCTGACAAAGCAGCAGCTCTCATTTACAGTTGTCTCGTTTGGCTCGGTACTTTTCTCCTCTCAATAGGGATGATTACAGCGCTCGCGATTTCCGGTTAGCTTCTTAGCTTAGCCTCCTTCACAACGACGCACACTTCCAAGTAGGGGTCTCTGCGTACGAGTGGGCGTGTCACAACGAAAGGCGATTCTAAAGCGACACACCTGATTTGACGGACTTTTTAAGGGGACACACCTGACTAGACAAGCAAAAAAGGGGTGTCACCGTATGGGACCACCTGATTGGACAAGAACAAAAGGGGTGTTACTGTACGGCACCACTTTTTCTGGAGACCCCTACTTGGGTCACATTTCTCCTGGTTAACCTTAGTGTTGGGGTCAGGGTCAGGCTGTACAGAGGTCAAGCAGGGTCTAAGGATACCGTCATGTAGGCCTYGTAGCCCACAGTGTTTATGGTTTAGACACGCCCACTCTTGTGTCACGCCCACTTTGATTCCGCAGATAACCCTTTCTCCACACTTCAGCAGAGGCCACGCCTCCAGCAAGAATCGCTTCTCTATAGCAGCGAGTCCAGACCCTGTCCGAAGCAAAGTGAAGGACAAGGGTCTGGTTTTTACCAGGCTAAGGACACGCTGGAGGGACTATGTTTCTCAGCTGGAACACCTTGGGATTCCCCCAGATGAGCTGGCCCAAGTGGCTGGGGAGAGGGAAGTCTGGGTCCCTCTGCTTAGACTGCTGCGCCCGCGACCCAACTCTGATAAGTGGAAGAAAATGGATGGACTGACAAGGATTTCTCTGGGAGAATTCCAACCAGGCCAATCAGCCAACAGGAGAAGGAGTTGTGGACAATGTAGATTTTCTGCGCTGTTTCAGTCTGCCTGTAGTTTAGCAATGGAAGCAGAGGAAGTGAATGAAGCCAGTTTGTGTTGACATGGCTTCCAAATGGGGACCTTCACTCGGACTATCACGCTCGTCACGTGACTATGTCCGCTCGACACTGGTGGGCGTACAAACTCATGTAGCAGCTCCAATGATTTCATTTTTAATCGTTAAACTTCAAAAGAGTCCACACCTCCATTAAGAAATCAAATATCAATAGCCGAGGTTCCAGACTCTGTGTACGAAGCAAAAAGTAGAACAAGAAGTTGGTTTTTACCAGGCTAGTGAAATGGCAGCAATGAACCTTTCTGACTTTTACTCATCTAGTTTGAGGTGTTCAGGTGGGATAAATCTCTCCAGACACCAATCTGATTTTAATGACATCGGGAGGATGCAAATTCAGTTCACAGACACCTCAACCCGCAACTGAAACTAATACTAACATTTTAACACGAATGTCCTTAACGTTGCTTGGATCGAGTCAGATTTGTTCTGGATGCATCCTGGAATTTCAGTGTGGGATTACGACCCGTTATACTGTATGACGCAGGTCAGGGTGTACACCATATGGATAATCTCACATTTACATTGAGAGATATAGTTTATGGTCGAGATAATAAGTGCAACGTTCACAGGTTTTTATTGTGGCAATACATCCCCACATTGGTCTTCTCTGTCAATATCACCCTGCTTTTAAGACTTGTTCAGCTGCAACTTTGCAAACCTGAAAACCCTTCAAAAACAAGAAAACGCTGATTAGACCGAAATTGTATTGTTTATATGCATAATAAGCAAACCATGGATTGTAGAGTCTATTATAAATTGTAGGTCTGAGATTGGAGATCATTACACAGTCTGATTCAGGGTGTGCATGGGATGTCAAACAGCTGTTCTGAATATTTTCTACTACTTTAAATTGATGGACACAAAAGTAAAACATTTTTATCACTAAAGTAAAAGTTGACATGACAGCTGAGGTTTGAGTCACAAGAACTGATATTTGCTTCAAACAAACACAGAAAAACAGATTTTGGATTTTATTGTAAATGTGTTTTACATAGTAGAACAAAGCAAAAATATAAGAATTTTCATAAATTCTTATTAATAAAATGTTTACAGATCACATAAAAAACTTACCAAAATGTTTCAAGACACATTGTGCTCAGCTGATATTAACATCTGTTTAAAAGAGTTGGAAAAATATATACATTATTGCAAATGATTTGGCTATATCTTTTTGTAAAATTGTGTTTCATGAAACATTCATTAGCATATTTAATAATGTGCTCTGTAAACACCTGATTTATACATTTTACAGTATATATGTGAAATATTTTGTTATGTACACTTTCTTTACATTTTCAAAAATCTTTCACAATCACAGATTTTGCTATAAGAATATTTTTTGTTTTCCTTTCTGATGCATGTACAATATTTACATACATTCCTGGGATTACATTATGAAACACATTCAGAAAATGGTTTCTTCTGTTTGCACTGAAGGAATGCCTGGCAGAGTAAGTGTACTTTCTACATACAGCATCAAAGGTGAGTTACCAAATACTCCAAATATTTTCAGAATTGATAAACAAATGAGCATTTTATTTTTCAAAAATAAAACTTCAATCCTGAACGATCCTTCTGATTCAATTTATGTTAAAGTTATGGCACATAAATAGATTGCTGTCTCAGCACTCTGTAGCAGCTGCTGCCTCTCCCGTGACTCATTTTATTTAATTCAGCTCAGAAACAGTGGCAGAAAAAAAAACTTCTGTAAGTGTAAATAAGCGTGTCGAAAAGCATCACAAGAAGGAAGTGACGCTTTCAAGATTTAGCACAGAAAATGCTGTTTTCTTGGTGGTTCTACAACTTTCTATAAACATAAAACAACTTTTTTCTACTGACAAATATGCTGTTATGTGTTATAAATTGGCTATCTGAAAAAATATTACAAATCAGTTAAAGTTAAATAAAAAATCCAGTCATTTGTAGTTTTAAGCTCCTAATGATGCAAAGAAGCAGCTTTATCTGTCTTTTTAAAAAGTGGACACAGTCCTTTTTAATTACTTATATATAAAAAGAAACTTTAAATAGTTTTGTTCCAAAAGCCTCCATTTGTCAGTCACACTACAGTTTGTATTAGTGTTTTTATTTTGAAAATCTAGAAAAAAAAATTGGAATTATATCTTTTTTTGCACACACCCAGGTAAAGAAACACTCAAATCTTTCATCTGATTCATTAAAAAAATACTAATTCCTGCATCTTATTAATGCTCCATAACAATGCAGTTTACAATATTTGACAGCAGTGATTAGCAAACACAATCAAAAAGTAAGAAAATATGGCAAGACAGCATAACAAACTCGTAAAACAGAAGCTGAAAACACAGTTTTCAACTGTAGCATTAAGGACTTTTTGTCGTACGTCTAAAGCTGCACTGTAATATTACTTTTTAATAAAATATGGCTTTTTTTCCGCCCAAATTAAAAGTCTCAACCAAAGTAAAGACAAAGACAAAGTTATCTAAACTCTCATCTGGGGCAGACAAGCAAAATTTTCACGTGAGCTGGTGCAAATTATAAAACATCAACAGGAACTTGAACCAGATTCTTGTTTTTCAGTTGTTTTAAACTTAAAAGGCTCAAAGATGTCAAAGAGCCTTTTTTCAACACTAAAGGAATGTTGATGCATCCAGTCTGTCATCTCTAGGAAAACAAACAGTCTCTAATGCTTCCTAAATGTCCAATAAGACTATTTTTATGTGTTTGTGGATGAAATTTAAATAATTTAAGAGATTTTACTAGCATCACTACTGGCTCCAGAAAATAAAATAATAATAAAAATGTAAAAAAAAGTGTATTTGAAAGAGATCCCACAGTGATATAAAATGCACTGATACGAAGCTTACGTGCACCTCTAAGTGTAAAAATATTCTGAATAGCTAGTCCTCAAAACAGATTGGCTAGAAGGTTTGAGAACAAAATTGCAAAAATACAAAAAGCTTATTCCACCTGTGAGATCGCTGCATCAAGTAACAGATGTTTGTTAGTTTCTTTTTTTTTTACAGTCTTTTCCTCACCCAATAAATTATCACAGTACCAGAAATGTGCGTCACACACTTGAACATAAACACACAAGTGATTAAAAAGCCCTTTACAGAGTCTTTTTAAAGGCGTTCGGACTGTCACCCCCCCGTCCAGATCCTCTTGTCATTCATCACAAATAGTTCCCCCCCCCCTCCCCCTCCTCTCGTTTAGCGTCACTCGTTCAGAACAGGGTCAGAGGGGTCCGTTTGCAGAGCGTCCCGTCCTGCTGCTTCGCGGAAAGCGGTGGACTTTGAGGTGTTTCGACAGGTGATCGCTGCGGGCGAACTTCTTCTCGCAGACGACGCACTGGTACGGTTTCACTCCTGAGTGGGAGCGGCGGTGTCTGGAGAGCTCGTCAGAGCGAGAAAACCTGCCAGAAACAAACAAAAAAAAAAAAATGCAAGAAGTGAATAAATAATCTTTTTTTTTCCTCTTTTGCTCCACAGGATTTTGAACAGACTGATTAGCTCAGCTTTGTTGAGTTGTCTCTACATGAACCACTCTGTGTTTCTATAGATCCCTATAAACGCACGAATAATAGACGAACTCCTAAACTGCCAAATAAAATAAAAGCTGTTCCTGGCTGAGATTTTTTTTTCCAGACGGGTAATCTGAGAGGTGTGATGCTTTGCATGCAGCTTCTCTGTGAAGTTGAAGAGCCACCCCCATATTTAGCTCAACACATGAGCACTGCAAATCCAAGCCTGCTCTATTCCTGGCCTGATCTGCTGTGGTCACCATGGGCATCTGCCAGCTTCCACTGTCGTGACAGTGAAGGGTTAAACGGATGAGAGCTGTGCTTCTGCACCTCGATGTGTGTCCGTATACATTAGTTAGGCTGTTAGGATCAAATTCAACTGTGACACAAGTTGATTTCACAGCGCCAGCAGCAGGATGTGAGCATGAAGGCGAAAAGTCCCACGGAAGTAAAGATATTACTAACAGTTGTGTTCAACCATTTTCACTTCACACAGATTACTCAAAAGCCCCTATTCAAAATTTTCACAGGTTTTAATCTATAGTAACCTATAGAGTAAGGTAAAAACATAATCTCAACAAATATCCCACTTGCAATAATTGCTCCCACCAACATTTCATGTTCATTCTCATGTAATAATCTTAACTAGATACAGCATAGCAGTAGCATATATGACCCTCACACTCACACAGAGCACCAATGCACCAGGACCCAGAAATCATCAGAATGGATTCTTTTTTTTTTGGGGGGGGGGGGGGGGGGTCATTGGTGGACCCCTTCACCAAAGCTAAATATCAAATAAATCTGAAGCTCCTATGCTGAATAGTTTTAGAGTTATAAGCATTTTTGTATGTCCAGTCACTCCCTTTTTCAGATGGAGCCCCCTCCCCAAATATGGGGTCTATCGTAAAACCGCTGGCTGGCGCAGTATAGGTCGGACACATCTATATTCCTCCAAAATTTCCCGTCAATCAATGCGGCCGTATCCATGCTACAGTTGACAAAAAAAATTGAAAATAAATAAAAAATAAATAGTACAAAAACAACACGACTACCACTTGGCCTCATTAATTGGATAAGTTGTCCCCGATGTGGCAAAGTTCAGTCTGCAGGAATGCCAGCAGCTCTGTGAGGCTGTGGTTTCTGCTAACCCAAACGAGGCGAATCTGTGACCAGATTTAACAAATTATTGAACGACTTTTTGACACATTTGTCTCCGAAAACTCTAGATTTCAAACCATCAAACGTTTTCCAACCAAAAATCATTTGACACTTGTTTTATTTAAAGTAGGTAACCAAACTAGGACACTCTTCTTCATTATTTGTACTCTAAAGTTTTTTTTTTTGTTTGTTTTGTTTTAGAGTTGACACACGTGCACACATTAAACCTTCAGAGATGTGCAGGCTCCGCTGCAAGCTGGGACATGATTGAAACCATATCTGGCTCCTGAGCCCAACTAGATCATGCCATACCAAAAACTTTCAGAAACACTTTTTTATTTTTGCTGTTCGATTGATCATGTGATAATTGTTTATCACATGAAATGCCCCTTTCCATTTATTTTCTTGTTTTTTCTAATGTCCTCTCCCCTATAACCCATTATCTAGGCCTTTATTTGTACATTTCAGGGATTGTGACTAAGGTCAAGGAATTTGTAACTAAGTATAAAAAAGTGCTTTTGTTGATCTTTTTTTTTGGATTATGGCTTTGAGTCCTTGAGGTGGCTTGGTGTGGCTGCCACACAACACACAGTATACAACGGGTAAAATAAGTATTGAACACGTCAACATTTTTCTCAGTAAATATATTACTAGAGGTGCTAATGACATGAAATTTTCACCAGATGTTGGTAACAACCCAAGTGATCCATACATACAAAGAAATCAAACCATAAATGTCCAGAAATGAAGTTATTTGTAATAATGTGGAATGGCACAGGGAAAAAGTATTGAACACACTTACTGAAATGTATCTAATACTTTGTACAAAAGCCTTTGTTGTCAATGACAGCTTCAAGACGCCTCCTGTATGGAGAAACTAGTGGCATGCATTGCTCAGGTGTGATTTTGGCCCATTCTTCCACACAAACAGTCTTCAAATCTTGAAGGTTTCGTGGACCTCTTCTATGAACTCTGATCTTTAGTTCTTTCCATAGATTTTCTGTTGGATTCAGGTCAGGTGATTGGCTGGGCCATTCCAGCAGCTTTAGTTTCTTTCTCTGAAACCAACTGAGAGTTTCCTTGGCTTTGTGTTTGGGCTCATTGTCTTGCTGAAATGTCCAGCCACGTTTCATCTTCATCATCCTGGTAGATGGAAGCAGATTTTTATCAAGAATGTCTCTGTACATTTTTCCATTCATCCTTCCTTCAATTATTTGAAGTTTGCCAGTACCATATGCTGAAAAACAGGCCCACACCATGATGTTCCCACCTCCAAACTTCACTGTTGGTATGGTGTTTTTGGGCTGATGTGCAGTGCCATTTGACCTCCAAACATGATGTGTATTCTGGCATCCAAACAGTTCAATGTTGGTCTCATCTGACCAGACTATATTCTCCCAGTATTACACAGGCTTGTTTAAATGCTGTGCAGCAAACTTTAAAGGAGCTTCAACATGCTGTTTCTTCAGCAGTGGAGTCTTGCGTGGTGAGCGTGCATACAGGCCATGGTGGTTCAGTGCATTACTTATTGTTTTCTTTGAAACAATCGTACCTGCTAATTCCAGGTCTTTCTGAAGCTCTCCACAAGTGGTCCTTGGCTCTTGGACAACTCTTCTGATAATTCTTTTCACTCCTCTGTCAGAAATCTTGTGAGGAGCACCTGGTCATGGTCGGTTTATGGTGAAATAATGTTCTTTCCACTTCTGAATTATGGCCCCAACAGTGCTCACTGGAACCGTCAGAACTTTAGACATTATTCTGTAACCGATGCCATCATTATGCTTTGCAACAATAAGGTTGTGAAGGTCTTGAGAGAGCTCTTTACTTTTACCCATCATCAGATGGTTCTTGTGTGATACCTGGCCATCATTTGGGACTGAACCAGCTGATATTAACTTGCACTGACAAGGGGCAGGCTTGTTTTCTAATTACTGAGAGTGTTCAGCTGGTGTCTTGGCTTTCCATGTCTTTTTACACCTCCCTTTCTTCATGTGTTCAATACTTTTTCCCTGTGTCATTCCACATTATTACAAATAACTTCATTTCTGGACATTTATGGTTTGATTTCTTTGTATGTATGGATCACTTGGGTTGTTACCAACATCTGGTGAAAATTTCATGTCATTAGCACCTCTAGTAATACATTTACTGAGAAAAATGGTGACGTGTTCAATACTTATTTTACCCGCTGTACATATTAGTGGTGTGGAAACACACATGTAGCCTTTGTTCTAGCTTGTCCTTAAACCTAACTCTGCTGCTTTTTTAAAACTAACTCTGCTGCTAACAAAACATCCAAACACAAAGGAAGGTGTGGCTACCAGGTTAGTTACAAAGTTAATAGGTTTGCAGTTTTGTAGCCACTGTTCAAGTACTGTATTTGTCACATGGATTGAAAATGTTCCATACACTGTTTCTCCATTTTGACTTGTTTTTGCACTTAAAAGTGAACAATCTATTGCTAAATCTACCTGGGACAAACTTGCCATCAGCTGACACTGTAATGTTGTAATGTTGATAAATCAGCTGACAAAGACAAGCCACCCCAACCTCGATGACAGGTGACGAGTACACACACGCCGCCGTGTTTTTACAGCAAACTCTGCTCTAAGCCCAGCCGCTGCAGGAGCAAAACCTCAGAGCCTCGGCGCAGGTCTGAGCTGACAAATCCTGCAGGGTCGAGTTTGTTGGTGCCTGTCAAGGAGCCTGCGTGTGTCGAATGCATGCAAATCTGCATGTGAGCAAAAACTACACACAACACCAACAGTAAAAGAGGGACAACGATCCAAAAGCAATTAAAAAGAGGAAAAAATTTTTAAAAGTTTGACAAGAGAAGCAATATAACTTTGACATACACGTGGGATACGAGCCAATGAAATACCACTTCTCTAGAGGAGCCAACATGTGGGTCTCTTCTAAGGTTACAGCATGTAAAAGGTGCCTGAGTCACTAGTTTATGTGCATTTCCTGCTCTAGAAGAAATGGGCACAGAGGAGGAAACTTCAGAATAAAATAAATAAACTGTCACAGGCGTGAAAGGATGCTTTGCAAGGGCAGGTCAGAACGCATAAAAGCATAAATGTTTAGGATTGGGTGTGTATTGATGCACGGCTGATCTATCAACATGTTTGCAACAGTTAAGGATGAATGAATGTGATGACTCATGCATTCCGACAGAAACATAACAGCATTAGACTCTTTCATACAAACCAAAAAGTTACTCATAATCAGTCGTTGTGTGAGCAGATTTCTGTAAAGATTAAACTTCTTATCAGGTGTGTGGAACACTATATTCTACGTGCTGGAGGTTAATGCCTTGTTTTTCCTCTGACAGGCTCAGGAGGAAAAAAACAAGCAGCAGCGTAATCAGGGATAACACTGTTGAGTTGTGCTTGGCTGACATGCAATATTGTCAGATGAATGTAATCCCGTGATAACTAAACTCACTGAATCCTAGAGTAAAGGATTTGCAAGGTAGTTCTTGTTTTATCTGTTTTTTTTACCACTAGATGTGTTAGAATGTGGACTTTTATTATTATATAATCAAATGTGTTGATGACGGCAAACTGAGAACAGATTAGAACACGTTTAGCTTTGACAACTTTGAACTAATCTGACTCATAATTCATGTTATTGTCTGCCTGGCTTAAAAAAAATACAAAAAGTAAACATTTTCCAGCAACGCAGGTCTGAAATAGAGAAAAGCTGCTCGTTCAGTGAGTGCAATTTCAATATTACAGAAAACAGCTCTGCAAGAAAATAGTTTTGGTCAATCCCAATTACTTGTTTTAGATTATAGTAATGACAGAAGAGGAAAGATGAAAGCGGGGGAAAAAAACGGTTGATGCTGTCAATGTAAAATTGACCAACACCACACACTGCAGGGTTTTCTAAGATTTAATCCTATAAGTGAGGCTCATCTGTATGTGCTTTAGGATTGACTAAGATAAGAGAAAACTGCTGATACAAGTGGGAATTAAGATACCAGTTATCGTAGTGTAACACTAAACCTGAGAAGGAAGGAAATCAAACATTTCCTTCTAGTCGTCTGCACTGTACCAACGAGAAAATTATTTATTTGTTTCACTTTTGGTGAAATTAATAAAGATGGTTGTAACCAGAGTTGTAAAGTAACTAAGTACAAATACTTTGTTACTGTACTTAAGTATAAATTTTGGTTATCTCTACTTTACTTGAGTAATTATTTTTCAGCATTCTTTTTACTTTTACTCATTACGTTTTTACACAATTATCTGTACTTTCTACTCACATTTTTTTAAAAAGKTAAGAAGTAGAAAGTTGTTACTCCTAATTTATTCCGAGTTATTATTTAAAAAATACAATCCTGATAAATTGTGTCTCCTGGATCAAGTGAATTTAATTGTGGTTAGATGATAAGTACGAATATATACCATTCTGACACCATAATAGCTTGTACACAATCATCACAGCTGCACGCTGTTAGAAAAAAAAAGTTTTTTGGAGAGGTTATCTCTCAATAAATGTCATTTAGGAAAATCTATCCACTCATTTTTACTCAATACTTTTACTTTTAATACTTTTAATGTACATTTTGTGTCAGAAATTTACTTTTGATACTTAAGTATAAAACATATCAGATACTTCAAGACTTTTACTCAAGTAATATTCTTAGAGAAAGAGTTTTTTATGATAAGATACTTGTACTTTTACTCAAGTATCACTTTCAGGTACTTCATACAACACTGGTTGTAACCATGTCCCAGGAAAGAGTGACTAAATGCACTTACCTCTTATCCAAAAACAATAAAGAAATAATTCACCTTATTGAAAACAAAGGTTGAATCCTTGCATTTTGTAAATAAACACGTTGGAAACATGCAGTATCATAAAGCAGCCAAAAAGACCTAAATACACTGAACATGTCCAATGTAGTCTCTCTGCAGGATATGGTTTTTGCAAAAGACCGTCACCTCTGTTCATTTAAATCAATGAACTCGTCAAAGTTTAGTCAAATCTGATCTTACTTATTTCCTCTTCACTGAACACAAAAACACATTTGCATAACCTTGCTTTTTTTAAAATCTACGCTCAATTCAGACTTTACTGTTTAAATCAAATTGTTATCATTAGTAGCTTACCCTGACTCAACCCTGCCTATATTTATGTGCACACACTCACAGGACTCTCTGCACCATTGAGCAACAACTGTACATATGTGGTATAGAGTTAAAATTCATTGACCAGCAGGTCAGAAGTTGACGTTTGCACTTTGAATCCCCAAGTTCAAAACATCCTGTTGTGAACTTTATGATTCAAGATTACAATTAAGTTTACTATAACGGAAGTGTTATTTCAGCGACTGAGATAAAACATTGGGGGTGAAAAGAAGCGATCGTGGAAGTGTATTTATGCCAAGCAGAAAAGGTTAGATTTAATTTCTCAGTAATCTTGTGTCTTTTTTGGTGCGTGGTTGTGTACTCAGTGGTTACCGACGGTAAGCAAACAGGTGCAATAACTAACAGGGGACAAAGTCTGCATGCAAAGAACTTCAAAAGGTGCCCCTATCTAATCTGCAACTTTACCATGGTTCAACAACACACACACAGATAGAAGGGATGGATTCAACTTCTGGAAAAGAACAAATTGTAGCCATATTGAACTGTCCCAAATGTGGCTTCCATCTAAACTGAGTTTTGAGGTTAATGCAGATTTAACAAAAATGTTCTGTCCAACAAAAAAAAAGTGACATAACAATCTGGAAAGATGTAAGACTTAGAACCACTTAATGATTTTATGAATTCCATTATGTTGAAAAGCAACATGGAACTTTCATGATACTACAAAGTAAAAGAACACGAGGAAAGACTTTTCCAGAGCCCTGTGCCTTATCTTTATCATCCTCATCCTAAAGAGTTCTGTTGTTTTGTCCGTTCATCACATTTACCACATAATCAACATCCGTCTTCAGTGAATAGACTCATATAGAGTGGAAGTCGATAACTCTACTACTGTAATCTCTGTGTTTAAGATAAACATGCACGAATATTGATGGTGCATTTTACTTAGCAAGAATCACTTCAAATAAAGTTGAAATGCATCTTGACCATTTCTCTGACCATTTGAGTTAATGTAAAGACGCTCAGCTGTGCTCACCTCCATCCACAGCCGGGCCACGTGCAAGCGAATGGTTTCTCCCCCGTGTGTCTCCTCAGGTGTGCTTTGAGGTGACTGCTCTTGGTGTACATCTTGTTACAGCCGGGAAAAGAGCACTTGTGCATTTTGATCAGGTCTGCCACCGTGCTCTTCTGGTACCGCTGACCTCCGGCGAGGACCCCTGCGGCCGAGGCCCCTCCACCCAAACCACCTTCCCCGAGCCCGGTGGGCTTCGCTGCGATGGGCACCGGTGCGATTCGGACGAACTTGGAAGCGGAGGCGCCTCCTGTTTTGCTTAAGTTAGTGGCTGCGGGTGAAAGCAGCTGAGGCACCAAAGCAAAGGTCTGCCCCTGGATGTTGACCAGGAGCTGGGCAATTTTTATCTGCGACGTGGCTTCGGTTGGTTGGGAATGGGAGCTTGGGGACTGATGGGTGGCAGAATCTGAGATGGCACTGGGGTTTGGTTCTTGTTTGACCTGTATGGGCTGGATTTGCAGAATTACTGGCACGCTTGAGGAAATGGTGGCACTTTCTGCTGACAACGACCCACAGTCCTCCTGTTTGATGTCATCAGCACAACAGTTAGCGGAAGTAGTTCCACTGCTGGTAGCATCCTCTAGCATTAATGAGCTGTCACTGTCTAATGCTTGTGGTGAATGTTTGGTCTCTGAATAAGAGGAACATGGCGAAAGAGCCACGGGCACAGTCTGGTCTGAGTTCTGTGATGCTGATTCAAGTTCCCCCGCTAGCGTCCTTGAACCCTCTGTCTTATCTGACATTGACACAGGAGGTGACATTGGCTCGTTGCTCTCATCCTCTTCTGTCTTCATTGCCACCACCATGTTCTCCTCTAAAAACTCCTCGATCTCTTCTAGAGTTGGCTGGAAGAGGAGCGCTTCAGGATCGTGCAGCTCGTCAAGGAAAACCGGGAACTCGAAACAATCCTGTTTGGTCTGCTGCAGAGGGACGCTCAGCCACTGTTCTCTCTTGGACTCCCATGCCAGGCCCATGGGCACGAAAGGGGTAGACGGGGCTTGGGAGGTGACGCAAAGCGAGGACGAGGGAAGGGAGACGGCGGCGCCAGCGCTTGACGAGGCGGCGAGGGAGGTTTGCGAGAGCAAGAGGTCCAACAGGCTCTCCTGACTCTCGCCCCCCGACGAGCTGGAACACCCGCTGCTCCAGCTGCTCCTGCTTTCGTAGCCGGAGCGGAAGACGTTGCGGGACGCCGGCGACGAGGACTCGGGGCTGGAGCAGAGGGAGGAGCGAGGGCTGGAGGAGTCGCTGAGGTCATCCTCTGAGAGGCAACGCGAGGAGGAGAGCGTCACCCCTTGGTGGGGGTGATGCTGGTAGGTGCACGCGTCAGTTACCATGTTGCCACCGCTGATGAGGCGTGAGTCACGGTTGTGGTCAGACCCCGGAGAACAGGAATAATACAGGAAGGTCTCCTCACCAAGCGGCAGGTGATCCACCATTCCTGTGCGGATTGATGGCAACTGACTCCACTGAGCTCTGAAGATCTAGCTTCTTCCTTTTTCCTGTAAAAGCGAGAGGTTTAGTTAGACGATAACTCTTCTACTTGAAACATTTTTCCACAATCAAATTTGATAAAAGCCTTGCAATGAAAAGAGAAAAGAGAGTGATTATTCAGGGTACATTTCAAGTTGAGGACTGTTTAAATTTGGCAGAGGGCCATGATGGGTCTGCAGGCTGGATTTTGGCCAGTTGTCGGGTTCAGGTTATCGTCAAATCGTAGGTACACTGACTTTGGTCAGTTTGACCCCTACGGAGAGATTAATATTTTACATGATCGACTGACCAAAGTAAATCAACAGACTGAATAAAACACATTTTTGGTCTCTGTTGACTACCTGCTGCTTGTTCAAGAACTCTACAAACTAATGGCTATTAAAAAGAAAGAGTCAACCACATGTGAGGGACGTGGAATGTAGGCTGTGCAGTGTGTGTGTGAGTGCGTGTGTGCGTGCAGGTTTTGCAGCTGCTGGTTCAGACTTCAAGCTGACCATGTGGAATCAGGCGTTCCTTTTTCTCGCTGCTTCTAAGATTAAAGCCACATGGTCAGTCGGTGGTGTGTTTCCATTTATCCCCCCACAGTGGTCTTTAATTTCAGCTTAATCTGAGCGACAATAATAATGCAAAGCTCAGTTCGGACAGCATAATAACAACAATCAGAAAACCTTTTCTCATTATACCAGGTGGCACACTTTTTTTTGTAGACGGGATAAGCAATATTTCACGAGTGACGGATTTATTCTCTATTTTTATGCACCAAACAGCTCTCAGACAATGCACCGCGGCTGCATTTATGCAGGGATTAAAACATACTAGACGACATCAAATGGCTTTGGAGGAAACGAGAGGCCTTCATGATTAAACATGACTCTGAAATCCCTCTCAAAGCCTAGAAAAAAAAAGTCCACGTGTGGAATTTAAATGACGCCCTCTGCTGTACGCCTGGGAAGAAGAAAAGAAGCGCAACAGGAGGAACCTCTGCGGATCCTAAAAGAGGTTTCGACCATTTCCAGGGGAAATGTGCTTTCTAATAACACCATTCATATTTTTTAATCGAATCAGGCACGATCACAAACGGTGCTTTGATTCACGTCTTTAATGAATTCGAGTCTTGACTTGCTGTGGAGACATTTTGGAGGGCAGCATCATGTGATATGGAGGAGCTGGTCGTCTGCAGCTGCGGCAGCACCTCACGGAAAGAAAAGTTTGAAGACAGCAAGTCTAGAGTCGTTTGTCCTGTAGTAACCTCGCGGTGTGGAAACATCAGAGCGCTCCCTGCTCTCCGGAGCGCTGCAGGATTTCACCTGAAGTTTTTCTCGGTATTTATGGCATGTTCACCGCTGCAGGCTGTGGCAGCAAGCCCGACAGTCATCTCAACTGGTCTAACATCGGTATTTAAAAAATAAATAAATAAATAAAAAATAAAAATACTGGCATAAATCCAGAGTCTTTGTTACCAGCGCAGCCGCTCTCTGCGTAAAACATAAACGCTTTGCGTTTGGTTAAAGGTTGTTTCCTTTTCACTCAGAAAAGCCACTGCGCTTCAACATCATGACGCAGAGAACGAGCATTCATATCTAGAAAACATCTTCTCTCACCTGGGAAAGCGAGGAAATTAAATTCCGCTCCTTTTACGCGCTGGGATCCAATCCTGGACGTTGGTGTTGGTGCGTAACTGTGCGCACTGGCTGTACAACTCCTCCGCACGAGCTCTGCATATCCTTACCTCTCTCTCTCTCTCTCTCTCTCTCTCTGTCAGGGCTGGTAGACAGCTTTAACCGTCACATGATCACAGCTGCGGGTTTAGCCTTTCTATCCGTCAAATCAGGAGTTTGGCTCAGGAAGGCTCGCCTTACTGCGCGTCGCTATTGGCTGCTCGCAGTGAAGCGGGGCGGATCCAGAGAGAGAGAGAGAGAGAGAGAGAGAGAGAGAGAGAGAGAGAGAGAGAGAG